GAAGCAGTGCAGCAGTACGAAAGCAGCTTTACAACAACCCCTGGGTAAAAAAGTTTTCGATGAAATTTTACTGATTCACCCCAGCAACTCACAAATCCGATAGTATAACCACCAATCCGAAAAGGCCCCAGACGGCCGTTTCGCCTTATAGGGGCTCGTCAATGGTGAGCATCCTCCGGTGTCATCAGGAACCGAACTCATGAGCGTTAGCAATGCGTGTCACTCGTCAAGTTAGTCTCGCACCGTAAAGATGATAAAAATGCAGAAATTCCACTCAAGTACTCTATCAGGACACTCCTTTAAGCATGCTCAGATATAAGTAGGCGGCTGTAGATGGCAATGTCATGTTCATAAAATTGTAATAGTCATGTGTTTCAGTTGCTTTAGCGATGCACCGTTTATAGCCACAGGAGTGGAACGCTGACGACTCATCGCTTCGCCTCAGTTGAGCAGAAGTAAGATGGCTGGGTTGGTAGAAACATCATGTGATCGCCCAGGGAGCTTATGTCAGATCACTCACTAGAAGGTAACAAACTGTCTGGAAGATGCGCGACAGGGATGGGGATTCTCTCAATTTGTCTAACAACGCAACAAATCAGATTTCAAACAAAAGTGGTCACTCAATCTCAGAAATCACAGCACTTCGTCTTCTCCACTGATTTCAAACGATATCCGGGAGCAGCCGAAAAAGTAACCCTGTGTCTCACATGCGGATGCAGCTTGATATATCTTATGTTAATGTGTTTTGGAGTACATGTGCTTACTTCTAGTCTCGACAGCATCGTATTATCTGATGTCTTTTATCGTCTTCATGGCAATTTTGTCGCGGGAGTTGTCAAGGCACAAATCGTGCCCTGTCACTTTAATCGGGACTGTACTGGACATGTGCTCCTCAAACGATATTTCAGAAATCGTTAGGTGCAATGTGAGTGCCGACAAGCTGTCTAGCCTCCCGATGCCACTATCTCGATTACTGGATCCTGGAGACCGCAAACCTTCGCTGGGAAGAAGGAGTGCACAGTTCCCACGAGGATGTCACACCCAATGAGTTTTTCCTCCATGGAACAGGCCGCGTCATGGCATTCGCACTGTTTACATACAACACGTATGATTTCTAGATTGTACATCGGTGATGTGAGTGTCGAGGTAGCATACTCCGACCCCGAACCAATCGTGATTTGCATCCACACACCTCGGTCATATTTCCTCGTGTTTGCGCTAAATATGGAATAAATCACTCCATGCGGATACTGTAGTGATAGGCGTGAAGTCGAAGCAGATCAGATGGACAGAATGTCGATGAGAGCTCAAACAATGAGATATCACCACTGAGTTGGTCCGTCGCGATAGTATGAGGATAAACCGCCGGCTCACGAATGGTCCAAGATAACATTGAGAGGAGACATGCACTTTTGGAGCAAAGATAAGGTTGGCTAGAACGGTATAAGAGGACGATAAGTATTCGGCCAATGGAATCTAGATTTTAAGAATGAGATCAACGGAACGAAGGCCCATCGTAAGCCAAATCAACAAGGAAGAACCACAGGTGGACTCACACCATAAGTAACAAGTGGTTTAATGGTTAATAGATTTTTATGGAAGCCCAACACTTGCGCTATCTTTGGATGACTACGATGACGAGTTAGCAAATGGGTTCTCCATTATAAACAATGACCGCGTATCTGCATGCAAATCTACAGCGGGTGCACGAGAAAGTCGAAGGAAGCAATTTCGTGATGCATATGGGCAATCCACCGTGTTGAAACGTGGGGGCGTGCTTAAATTCCAGTTGTGGCAACACGCCGATGCAAATCAAGTGTGACCAGCTGAAATAGCCAAGAGATAAGTCCCAACTCATTTTGGGCAACGCTGTAGGCAGGAGCGTGAGGGCAGAGCGAATTGGATGGTATGTTGGCACAATGGTGGGAACCTGCATGGAAATGGAGGATAGATTGCGCTAGCTTGCAGGGTCAGATGAGCTGTTTCCGTCTACCATGGCTCAGTGGCATAAGCTGATAGTGATCATGGATTCGATCTCCAAAAGGGGACCAAGAGAATGTGCACTACTGACGAGCCGCAATAGGGCGAAACGTGATCGTCTGACGCTTTCTCGGATTGAGACTAGACTAATCTGACTTCTGAGCAGCTAAGAGGAACCAGTAAAATACCATCAAGAATCCTCATACCCATCAGTAAGAGTAAAATTACTCTAATTTGGGAAAGCTTAGATCAAATGCTGCTTCTCCGTCAGTGTTTCAGTAAGGAAAAGATAGTGCCCCAACAAGCGATCAAGGGTCAACAAATTCGTAAGACAACCACAAGAAGTAGGAGTGAGTTTTGGGATTTCTTGCAACCGGGACTACCAACAAGATAACAGAAAAGCAACGTGGGAGACTGTTACCACAGATCACCACAGGATCTACAGAAGGCCCATCAATATGAATTCGAGTGTAACTGGAGCTGGGTCAGCGAATAACCCAGAGTGAAACACATGTTCGATGCATAACTGCGACACATATTACCCTAGAAGAACAAAGAAAAAGGAGCAAACACCGTTAGCAAGACTCACACTCAGTTGTCGGTCCAGTTGGACAATACGTGATTCGCTATCGAAGAGTTTTTCGCGATACGATTGGAGAAGCAAGGTCTGCTCTTTGATTCTGACCTGTAGCCTTTGGAGTTCATCAAGATTGCTGGAGTCAGGTGGTGAATCACGTCTGGCAACGGGGCTATTAGTCTGGAGAACAAAAACGATTAAAAAACAATGGGCGAGAAATAGATAGCAAGCAAAAGCGTGACATCGCGAAACAGCAAGGATAAGTGGTGTTGCGGTATAAGTAGAGAATATAATACAAACGGGTCAATCGGACGAAAATGGGCCAACAATAGATCATTTCAACCGTCTCCCGTAAGGCATGTTGGGCGTTGGCTCTTGCGACACTGTACAGTTGGCAAGAAATGAGCTTCGACCCAACGGTTTTTCCGAGTTGTTTCCGTGGTTGGTCCTGTGCGTTATACATTCATTTGTGGTCATTCGACATTTACCTTGTGAAACAGTGGGTCCCCTTCAGCCATTTCGTTAAGACAGAGAGAGGACAGAGGTTGCGATATGTCAACATTTCGATTGTTCTCTTCACTCGCAAAACACAATACGAGCAGAAACACATAAAGGACTATATACATGGAAAAAATAAGCAACACCAATCAAAATGTCACAGTCAGGACTATAGCAGCTGAATTGATCACCTCAAGAGTTTCTGTCTACATAGCACAGGTTGATAAGCCCTCACTAATTACCAGCACCATCGGGTTTTTGTCACGTTGTCACGCTGTCTCGGGGTTCACGTGATGACGATTTGACATGAGGTGCTTGGTGATAGGCGATGTCGGGCTCCGATTAATTCTTAGATCCGTCCCATTTTGTTGTGTAATCACTTGTCCCAACCACTTTGTTCAGCTACCCTCTGAGCTAACTGACGGTTTATTCTGCCTATGGAAATGTCACCGCAACCGTACACAGCAGACCTCCCAGCGTGAAAACACCGATGTTGACGGCTGAGAAAAAGGATGTTTAATTGTTCTTGCCGTTCAAGGGGGATCATGTAGCAAATGATATCGGACGCAATCTCCGGTCCGCCATAACGCGCACCTACACGACAGCCCAGTTGCGACTCAGGCATACCACGCGAGGACTTGTTCTACATAACCGTCAGAGCATCTCGTCGGGTAGTTCGGCCTCTCACGTTGTCCGTCAGTTCAAAGTGTTATTACGTAACAAAAACCCGACGTTGCTGGCAATTAGTGAGGCCTTGTTAATTAAGACTTATCAACCTGTGCTATGTGCACAGAAACTCTTGAGGCAATCATTTCGGTTGCTATGGTCCTGACTGGGGCATTTTGATTGGTGTTGCTTATTTTTCCATGTATATAACCTTTCGAGTGTTTCTGCTCGCACTGTTTGCGAATAAATGAAACAGTTTATCTTGTGGTAAGGAGTGGAAATAAGCTGCGCTTGGCTCGTTCTCGTCCGATGTGCCCGTTTTCCCATACAAGTTATTGCTGACATAGTAGCACTCACCTATGGTACATAAAAAGGTAAGCAAAGGGAGATGACAACCTTATCAAGGTGCATCGTGTTCGAAAGTGATCCAGGAGCAAAGCAACCGCAACAAAGGCTAGCAGACAGAGAAGCGAGTCAAATGGGGAATTAATTTATTTAACTTGGTGGTGGCGTACTAAAAAGTAAAACTATGAACCCATTTTCTGTAAGCGAGATGTTTCGCAATAGGCCCGAAAACCGATAGGTACAGTTGTGACAAAATAGCTAATGCAACAATAACAGAAGTACCTGTCGAACTTTACAATAAACATGGTACGTAAGTGGGCAAACCAACTCTCGTTTAGGTACGAACAAAAGCAATGGGGTAACACTGGCATACAGCCCCAGAGTGAGGCATACAATTTTGAGTGCCCCGGAGCACGCACTGATCCCATAGTGGTGCGGATATTAATAGGCATGTACCCAACGGAGTCAGAGAGGTCTAACTAGCTGAACGCACTAATAATTGAATATGATTCCCAAAGCCAATCCCCCTTTAGCCTGTCAACATTTAGGCCAAGTGGTTGAAACAAGTGACAACCCCCGAACAAAGCTTCATTTCTAGAAAGTTCAGTCGAGTAGCAAAGGTTGTTCAAAATCATTCTTACTTTTCTATTGCTTTTCCAGATTATGGAGTTCCTCATAAGTAGCTCACAATCCAGACAGTCTAACACATCATCATCATCATTACACGTTAGCTGGAGGTGGAAAACACCTCAGCTATTGTGCCGCAATACAAAAGGCAAGAAAAGAAGAGAAAAAAACAAACAACAACAACAACAAACAAACAGTGCCACGCCCGCTGAGTCCCCAGTAACGGATGGACATCGTTCCGGAGAGCTAACAGCTGGCTGCCGTAAAAGAAAGTCATATTATGCCTAACGATTGAGATCGTGATTGGAGGGGGATGCTAAACAGGAGGGGGATGGACAAAGGAACTCACAACACAAACGCCATTGGGGCCGGCTCCTAGCCATATCAGCAAGTGTGTCCAACCAAACGTGTTCACCGTCCTTAGGACCCCAACCAGGCAGCCGGGATGCACCAACCGACGCCAACTTCGAAGTGAGGGTTTTCATTTCTCTCGACCAAGTCATCACTTGGCCTCCCCTCCTCCTCTTCCAACCGCACCCACAACGCGCAAACAATGCACGTCGCGGGAGTCGGTGTGCTGGCATGCGCAACACGTGGCCCAGCCATCGGAGCCTGGTGCGTGATATAATCGTGCTGAGCGGTTCACTCGCTCTTCCTGCACCAAATACGCGACGCCGAACACGCTCATTGCTCACGCGGTGTTCCCACCAGACATGAGCTAAGCTGCGAAGGCAGCGATGATCGAACGTGACGAGTCTCTTCAAGTCTGTCGACCTGATGGGCCAGGTTTCACAGCCATATAGGAGAGTTGAACGGACGGCTGCGTTGTAAACTCTGCCCTTCAGGGCGAGAGTAATGTCGCGTCTGCGCCACAGGTGGCGGAGATTGGCAAAAGCACCTCGAGCTTTTGCTATACGGTTCGTAACCTCATCTTCAATCCCACGGGTGCTAATATAGCTGCCCAGGTACTTGAATCCCTGAACGACTTCTAGCAGATCACCACCAAGCGTTAGCGCAGGGTTGGGTCCTTGCCAATCTTGGAGAAGTACTTTGCATTTCGATGGAGCAAAGCATAGCCCAAAACGATTGACAGCCAGTGCTAATCGGTTCAGTGCTGTTTGGCATGTTTGGGAGCTGTCACAGATTAGGGCAATATCGTCTGCATACTCCAAGTCAAGAAGTCGCTCACCAGGGAGTAGCTCCACACCTTCTAGGTCGTGTCCAGCGAACGCTGTTTCCATGACTTCATCAATAGCGAAGTTGAAGAGGAAAGGGGACAGCGGGCATCCTTGTCTCACACCGCTGGTGATACAGAAGGGTGGCGAGAGTTTGCCATAAACCCTCACCCTGCCCGAACTATGCCCGTACAGCGCTTTGATAATGTTTACATATTTATCAGGCACACCTTTCCTCAACAGACAGTCCCAAAGGGCACATCGATCGACTGAGTCGAAGGCACCTTTTATGTCAAGAAACACGACAACGGTGGGTCGCCAATAAACATGGCGGTGCTCCAACACTTGACGCAATGTGAAGATGTGGTCGATGCAGCCCCGACCTCGACGAAATCCGGCTTGCTCTTCACGAATCTGGCTTTCACGAGTGCCAGTCAGTCTGTGGAGAATGAGAGAGGCAAGCAATTTAGAGGCAATCGAAATCAGACTGATCCCTCTATGATTGCCACATTCTAAACGGGAGCCTCCCTTGAAAATTGGGACAATGACGGAGCGGTTCCAGTCTGTCGGGACTGTCTCCTGCTCCCAAAGTTTTACTAGCAACTCGTGTAGATCATCTACTAGAGCAGGTCCACCGAATTTGAAGAGGGCTGGAGGAATTGTATCTGCTCCTGCGGCCTTATGCAATTTCAACAGCCTGATCTCACGTTCGACTTCTGCGCGTGAGGGCGGATCCAAGGAGACGGCCCAAGGAGAAGGGCGCTCAATGCCCGAAGAAAGCGATAACTCAGGTTGGTTAAATTGCCTCGAAAAGTGTTCAGCCCAACGCTCCAAGCGTTTTGACAGGCTGTGGATCATCTGCCCACTCTCGTCGCGTATGGTCTCGCTAACACCAGGTCTCCTGCTGCCTGTTTCCCGTATCAGACGGTATAACTTACGATGATTACCAATGGCAGCGGCTGTTTCCATCTCAGAGGCACGATGAGACCACCAGGTTTCGCGGTCCTTCTTTAGGCTAGCACGTAGTTTCGCCCTGAGATTTTTGCGAGCTTCATTGTATTCGCTTCCAGCCGGAATACGTCGGCGAGCATCCATAAGTTCCATAGACTGTGTAGAGACCCAATGTCCGGTTTTGCAATTTGTTTTGCCACATGAAGACATGCCTGCTAATAGCAACGCTTGACGAATATGCCACCAGTGATCCTCAACGGTGTTTAGTGGGCGCTTACTCAGCCCAGATGTCAGCGCATCTTGGTACACATTCAGAACATCTGGCTTCGCCAGCTGGCTGGTGTCAATCCGTTCACATCGACGTCGCGGACGTCCACCGAAACGCACTAGGAGGTCGGCGCATACAAGTGCGTGGTCAGAGTCCACGCTCGTGCTCCAAATCGAGCGACAGTTTTGGACACAGCCTCTCCAGCGGTAACTGATCGCGATATGATCGATTTGCGTCCATGACTGGCCCGAGGCTGGTGGCCGCCAAGTCACACTTCTGCGGGTGCTGTGTCGAAAGTTAGTGCTCGCGAGAAACAGGCGAGTATCTTCACACAGCTGGAGCAATCGCTCACCATTATCATTACGGGAGCCTACACCATGTTGGCCGCCCAGATGAAGCTCATCAGAGGACAATTTTCCGACTTGGGCGTTTAGATCGCCAGCCAGCACCACAGTATCCGTGCTTCTTCTGTAACGAAGGAGCTCGTGAAGTTGCTGATAGAAATCATCTTTTACCGAATCAGTGCTACAGTTTGTAGGGGCGTAGGCCGCAATGACAAACAGGCACCGTTTGTCCCCGCGCGACTTCGAAGCACGGAACGAACCAGCTAATCTAACGGCGCACATTCTACTGTTTACTGGGATCCAATCAAGCAGGGCAGCTTCAGCCCGGGGACTCAAAACAATGCCGACGCCAGCTTGACCGGCATTTGAAGTTGCATCATCGCCAGACAGGCGCAATGAGAATGTGCCGCCAGTGTCGCATGTGGGGGATCTCAGGGTAAGCACGGAGCTCGAACCTTGCAGGCGGGTTTCTGATAAACAGCAAATATCGATCGATAGGGTCTCTAGTGTGCGGGCGAGTGCTGCCTGTTGGCCAATCTGCAGCAAAGTGCGCACGTTGAGGCATGCCAATCTTAGCGAGACACGAGGGCTCCAAAGGGAAACGGATGAACTGACGTTGTCCGCTTGGTTGAACATGGACTTGTCGACTGGAATGGAGCGAGGCCCTGCGATTGTGTGTGATTTGAAATTAGAAGGCAAGCGACTATTGAAGTAAGCTGGGGGAGGGCCAAGAATTGGGGGATTGAAAATGGGGGGGATATAAGTAAAGTTGGAGCGGGACAATAAGGATCCAGAAGCGCAAGAAGGGGTATAAGAAGACGGGAAGGCCTGAGCAGTAGCATCCAAACCCCTATCCACCCTGCTCGATGCAGCAGATAGGGCGCCGTTTATTATCCTCTGCGACGGCCAGAGCATCAAGAAATTGTTGTAGGAAAGGTTCATTGTATTGCGTGGGCAGAATACTGTCAGGTTGCCCAGGCCTAGACAGGAGAACGATTAGGGTTCTCAACCAAAGCCTTTGGTTCAAAAACCTTACCGCAAGGCAGCGGGTTTTGGCACTGGACTGAGAAGCCCGTTTTATGAAATGAGCAGCCACCCCCATTCCAACACCCAACCTGGAGGACCAGGAGGCTGAGTTTGTCTGGCCTCTAACCATTGACCAATCTGGTATGAGTGGCTCTAAAGGTGCAAAAAAAAGCACCACCCAGCATAGCTCAATGGATCTCTGAGGCACGCAAACCATCGCACCACGGTAAGGTCCAGTCTAACACAATCCGATAGAGCACCAAATGGCTGTGTTGTCCCAAGGAGACTCGTCAGCAGTTCGGTTCTATCAGGAGCCGACCCCATGACTCCTCGACATTAACAGCTTGCGCCATTGGTATCTTATACTTACTAACCATGGGGGACAGTGGCGGACTGTGATGAGCTGGAAATGTCGTTGTGAACATCCCTTGATGTGATGGAGCGAGAATGAGAGAGTATCACCACCAGGATTGGCTGCAGCGAACTAAGTGATGGGAATCCCAGACATGATGGCTTCACACAAGAGGTGTAAATGTGGATGAATACCAGCATGGAGTTCATTTCACATGCAGCAAGCAAAAGGAGAAACGTCTCTTTAACGCACTGTCTAACCAAACAAATAAAGAGGCACTCACTCCGACTGCAGAAATATGAATTTTTATATAAGTCTTTAACTAGACGATGCCTTATGGTACATCGCTGTATTCTTTGCATCACGATGGTGCATATTTTGCACACATTAGATTTAGTCTCATAGGTAAAAGTCGTAGAATTTACCTCTTCAATAGTAGGAGTATACCGTACGATGAGTCCGTCCTGGAGTTCAGTCTTCAAATGTGACAACACGATCCGTAATCCTCGGTTCTCCAAACTTAGTTCCTTTACCTTTTCGGACAATGCACGTGCAGCATCCTCTTGGTCCCGATGGGATTGTTGTGCCTCCTCATAGCGTTTTCTGTGTGAGATAGGAAAGTGAACATCAAATGAAAGAATTTCCGATGGATTCAAAGAAAATACTTCAAAATCCACCCTCTCCCCAGGCTGTTAGCCATTGGGTCCATCGCCACGGAATGCAATTTGTAATGCGGCTGTGGCATGTGGAAAAAAACAAATCAATGTTTGGATGCAGGACTGGGAGATTTGGTTGATATGGTACGTAGATTTGACACACAGTCCAAATTACACGAGCTAAGTAAAGTGAGTCATGAATGGAAATGACCTGCGGATAAATAAAGCACAAAAACGCCCAATGTTATTAATTCGGTCTACAAATAACATGAAACTCAGGGAGGTGAACATATGTTCGTAATGCAACTTGTGAAACATTGCTTGAGTAAGTCGCAATTGGTTCAGCGGAGAGACGGGATACTTAATGCGACTTAGCGGTGGCAAGAACTTGATTGACACCGGTTCACTGCGGCAGATTCAGGCGCGATGAGTCGCGTCACAATGACAAAGATGAGGACAAAACGCGAAGAAGGATAAAAAGAGCGTAGGAAAAAGACCAATTATCCATATAATACAGCAATTAAGGGTGAGAAACAACCCAGGTATTGCACCACAATACAATGCAATCCAGTGGTGGTAACAAAGAGATGAAAAGAAAACAACAGAGAAGAGCAAAGATATTATTGTGTTTTATTTTACGTAATACATTAACAGTAATATCGTGGTTGCAGTGGGAGGACAAATGTGATGAGGTGGAGCAAAACAATTCACAACATAAACAATGAAATCGGTTCTTCGCCAAAGTATCCGATGAGCTCGGCAGTCGGGAGACACCAACCGACACTATTTGTGAAGTCAGGGCTTTCGTTTTCTTGACCAAGCTATTGCTTGGCCTACTCTTCCATACAGACTGCGGTGTGTAAACAACGCAGGACATAAGAGTCGGTGCGCAGGCGCGCGCAAGACGTGGCTTTAGTATAGGAGCCTAGTGTATGTTTTAATGGTGCTGAGTGATTTACTCGCTCTTCCTGCACCAAAGACACGATGCCGAGCACAGTCACTGCTCACACGGTGTGCCCACCAAATATGAGCTTAAGTGAGAAGGCAACGATGCCCGAGTGTTACAAGTCCCTTTAGGTCTGACGACGTAACTGGCCAGGTTTCACAGCCGGACGGCTACGCTGTAAATTCTGACCTTCAGAGCAAGAGAAACGTCGCGGCAATGCCACAGGTGAAGGATTGGTGAAAGCACCTCTAGCTTGCGCATGCGATTCGGGATCTCGTTTTTTATTCCACAGGCTGATACATCTGCCCACGTAGTTGAATTTCTGAACGATTTCGAGATGATACCCACTAAGGGTCAGCGCAAGGGGCGGTCACCGTCAATCTAGGAAAAAGCTTTGCAAGTTGGAGGGCACTAAGCACAGTCCGAAAAGGCTGACAACCTGTGCTAATCTGGCCAGTGCTGACTGGCACATACGCGGGTGGTCACAAATTGGTGCAATTGCATCTGCACAAGCAAAGTTAAGAAGTCGCTCAAATGGTAGTAAGTACACACTTTCCAAGTCATGTCGAGTGAATGCCGTTTCCATGACTATGTCAGTGGCAAAGTTAAAAAGAAAAGGTAGTAGCGGGCATCCCTGTCCCACATCGCTGGAGACATTGAAATGCGGTGACAGTTTGGCCGTAAGCCCCGAATCTGCTGAAACTAAGCGGATAAATTGTTCTGATGATGTTCACGTGTTTCTCGGGTAGATCATTCCTGATCAAACAATCCCAAAAGGCACATCAATCCACTGGATAGAAGGCATGTTTGATGCCGAGGAACACGACGTGAGATGGTCACAGATTGAAGCAGCGATGCTCCAACAATTGCCGTAAAGATGTCAATACAGCCTAAATTTTGAAGAAATCTAGCGTGCTTTTCACAAATCTGGCTCCAACGGGCGGTAGTCAGTCTATGAAGAACAACCTACGCAAGGCAATCGGAGGCGATCGTAGTCATACTGATGCGTAAGTGATCACCGCATTAGGAAAGTGAGCCCTCTTGAAGATCGGAATAATAACGAGGTAACTGGAATAAACTGGGACAATTTCTGGATTCCACAGATTCTCCAAGAGATCAAGGAAATCATGCACAACCGCAGGTCCCTCAAATCTGAAGAAGGCTGGAGAGAGATCATCTGGTCCCGCGGCCGTATGCCATCTCAGAAGTTCGACATCACTTACGAATTCTGAACGAAAGGAATTCAAGAGACGGAATAGGGAGTTCAGTTCAGTTGAACAAATATCATTGGATGACCGAAATGCGGTAGATCCAGTTGTCATGACACACATCGATATAAGAACAATAGGTAAAAACAGCAACAAAATGAGATTGAAAGCAAGCGGAAGACAAAGTAAATGGAATCAAGAAAGAAATTCGTAAAACTAATTGAGATGAAAAGAAAATAAAGCAACGATAACTACCAAGTCAATTGAATTCATAACGGAATCAAGATCATCCCTAAGTAAATCATATCTATCCAGAATATTCGACTCGGTCCATAAACAGATCAAGAAGAATCCAAAGTGGCGCAAAAGCACAAATCCGTGCCTATCGTTTTGACCAATTGCAACAACTAACGCCATATTACGGGAGAGAAAGAGTACTCAGAACATCAGCATCGGTTGGTGCAGCGGTTAGTTCCATGTAAACAACTTCCTAACCTCACGTTTTGCATTACATACACCCAATGCATCACGTGATGCACGAGCGGACGTCAAAGCAACAATAGCACGCGGCGCGGCCAAGCGCATGACACACGTGGGTGGTCGAGGAAGTACCGCATCTCAAATGAACACGCAGAACACACAACTGGAAGGCCGGAAAACCGACTCGAGCTCCTCCACCCGCGTTCTCAGTGCTCACTGTTTTGCGCAACTCCACCAAAGTGCCTACAGTGAAGTTACCTGAACGCAAGCTAGTAAGTATGTTCGTCAATTTCACGTGGTATGACTTATCCTTAGCGGTGTCTGCGTGTCATCACGTGTGTCGGATGCTGTACCTGTATATTTGGAATAATCAAAGTGCATGGTGCATCAAAACGTGGTACCACTGAATGATGCGAGCTGCGCATCAGGTGTTAGATAATGGCGATTGTGGCCGAAGTACCTGTTTATTGCTGTTGAGCATAACTGGCTTTAATAACGAGGTGACCATCAGCACATACAGAGCTATGCACGATGTACCACAGTGACCTGTGCGGAAGGGTACCGTGTCAATTGTGATTATATATATATATATATATATATATATATATATATATATATATATATATTCACCAGAGAACATTTGGCAGAGTGCCACAATTGCGATGAGTCTGGCGGGTCAGCTACAGAAACCTGGCCTCTTAGATCAGCAGACACAAAGAAGCTAGTTACGTTCGACCATCGGTGCCTTCGTAGTTTGGCTCACACTGCGTGATCAACGAACGTGTTCGACGTCTTGTTTACG